GGGACTCAAACCAGCTTTGTACGGTCAGTCTGATGGAGCCTCTGTCTGCTTGAGCTTTAACCCACTGATTAGCCGGAGACTCTACATTCATGTAGCCTGTAAGAAACACAGAACAGGGCACATAAAAGTAGGAGGAAAACAAAGCAGAGGCGGATTATGAACAGAACATTGTGTATGGGATTAACTGTGCCACAGGGAAGCGTTATAAAGAAGGTTACGAGCTTACCAGTAACGGTGGTGTGGCCTTCAGACGTGTTGTTTTCTACTCCATGGAGAACAACCTCTGGGCTGATATCCACCGACGTCCCACAAAGCCTCACCCCAGCTCTTAATGAGGACGGCACACGCACGCTCACCGCTCCTACGTAAGACACAGAACGAAGGAGAAAAACAATATGACTCAAAAGATGTAACAAAGAAAGTTGTGTCAAATAAAGACAAAGTTGTTCTTGTAATGTGTGTTTACCTTGCTGACTCTGAAGCTCAGCACTGCCACCGTCTCCCACGTAGACATCGATGCCTCCGCTGTCAGAGGAAACCTTCAGGAAGCTATTTGAACCATCTGAAAAAGCAAAGCCTCGGGTGTTTTGTTTTGCTTCCACTGACGGAGACCATATAAAGGGCAATGTGCAGTCGGTCGACTTGCTCACCTATAACTGTATCTCCACACGCGTTCTTCACAGTAGTCTCACCTTTAATTAATGAAAGCACATAATTAATGATAACACTTCTAAGACTGTAGATATCACAAGCCTGCAGCTCTAAGTCAACAAGATAATTGTTTCCATGCATGTGTTGGAGTCTGAGGCTCATCATTATCAGGAAGAAAAGGAAACGTCTGCATCAATGGTGCATTTTTCTTACTACACATCACAAAGCTCTGATCTCATCTTGACTTTGAAGAATTAGTCTTCTTAAAACTACATTGTTTCATAGCTTTTCAGAAACGAGTAACAAGCTGGATAAGCGGATAAATTACAACCACATTGCAGTTAAAATCACCTCTGCTTCGAGCCCGGGATTCCAGACATACCAAAGTCCTGCTTTACCAAGCAAGTAACATAAAGCAGCTGAGTACAAAATGTGCTGCAATGTAATATAGTGTGCAAAAAATAGCAACCTCTTTGTGTCTGTGAAGGTTCTCAGTCATCTCTTTGTGCAGATTTACCCATTTTGTGTTACTTTAGATTATTATTGCCTGTGTGTTAACCTGCCAACAGTATTTTAACACTCAGGTCGGTTCTATTTGTTCCAATTTCACACACTGTTGGGATCAATAGCTGGCAATGAGATCTTCATTTGATATTTTTATCCACTGGCAAAAAATATATACATTTACTTAAAAACTAAACTATCATAATCTAAACAATCTAATGTGTAGTAGAGTCTAAGTATTTAATTGCTTATTGGCTCACTTTGCATTGGACTCTGGCTTTCGTAATAACCACACATGTAATTTCATTAAGCTACAAGTTTTTATTAAAAATGAATGATGGACGCTCGCTTTTGCTCACCGTGCACGTGCCCTAGGTTCACTCTCCCCGAACGGGATGAGATGCAGGTGGACTCCGCGTAGATGGCTTTGACCTTCAGAGGGCCGTGCTCTGTTGACACATTCATCTTGGTGCCCTGGAGCTTCTTGACATCCACTGCCTGTAAACGTACAACTGATCACTACACAGGGATGTACACGATGTATAATCGCAGCTTTTTTGATGTTGTTTGTTTTAAGTAATAGCCACAAAAAAAAAAAAAAAAAAAAAAAAAAGGAAAACATGAAACTCAACACTGCTAACGCGTATTTCAGGGTACTGCTGCCCCCTAATGACTGCTGAGTATAAGGACTAACACATAGAAATAACAGTCATCCTTACACTGTCTCCCCCAGTGCTGATGACCACGTTGCCATTGATTGTGCCCACACCTGTAACATGCCCTTCGTGGGATTGCACCTCAACCTGATGAGCCTGAAATAAGACAGGAAAAGATGAGAAAGGGCGCTCTTTTCAGGATGCTCACAGTTTGCATAGAGAAGACAGATGATTTGAAATAACAGTAAAGGGACAACTGACACTGAACAAAGGTGGTGGCCTACAACATAAACTGCCAGCTACCTGTGATCCAGTCTTGAGATGTCTTTCCAACAACTTGTACCTTGACCGGTGTGACCTTAATGACTCACAGGACAATTTTCAGGACTACCTCCAAAGGGTGTAACTTCAGGTATTTTGACGTAAAAAAGACTAATTATACTGTGAGCCATTTCAAGTATTACATTAGTAATTTAAGTAGTGCATAATTTCCAGGATTGTTAAAAAAACAAGTCCTCATGACATATTTTATATGTAAGGCAAGGCAAGTTTATTTATATAGCAATTCAATTCAACAGCAAAGTGATTCAAAGGGTTTTACAGAGACATTAAAAAACAAAAACAAATAAGAACCATAAATAAAAGAGGACAGCTGAATAGCGGAGCATGCATGATGCACATCAATATAATGGATCATGCAAAATGTAAAAAGGCAAGGTGAAGCCACTACAATATAAAGGTGCAGGGCATTTACAGTGTAAGATGGGGAAATTTTGTTTGTCTTTTCACTAAAATACCCAGAAACTACACATTACTTAAAACTGCTTGGAGTATAATTATTTCTTCGTTCCTGTATAAACTTGAATTTTGAATCTTGAATTTTAAATGCATCGTAATTTCAGGTAAAATACATGGAAAATCAGTTTAATTGAATTACAACCTGATTCACAGGCCAGTGAAGAAGTCCACTTGCCTTCAGCTCAAGTGTTTAAGGATCAACAGTCACAGTCAGTAAATGTTTTGATAGATGAAGGTCAGGGCCGAGCTGTTTTAGCAGAAGAGTGTGTGGTTTGGCTTTGTCTTTGTAACATAAGCAGGCTGGAGAAAGACATAGTGTGGGTAAATTGCTCCAACAAGTAGGACCGACTAATTGCAGGCCTGACATGTGTTGCCAATACCCACCTTGACAGAGTGCAGCAGGCAGTTCCCCTTTTCTGTTCGCACCTTGCAGATATCACACTCCATATTCTTAACTTGCACACTTCCCTTTCCTTGAGTAGTAATGAAGAGATCTGACAAAATTTCACATACAGAAATTATTCAAAGGCGCAGAATCACTTTAGTGTGGATCCCCTGTCATAGACACACTCACTGCTTTTGAGGGGTGCAGACATTTCGATGGACACGTCGCTGTCCACCGTCTCAGCGGATATTAGGAGCTCTTTGCTCCGGTCATCATAGTGGACCTTTAACCGGTCCAGACTGACTTCCTGCTCCTTGTCTGGCCCGTGGACTGTTATGAAGGCTCGATCAGCCTCGGGGTAGGTGTGCGGGTCCAGCGGGTGGATGGATATGTTGCAGCCTATCTGTGCGCGCACCGTGGTGAAGGGGCTCACTGACAGATCCCACCGCCTCAGAGGCTGCTTCACCTCTTCATGAGCAGGAGACTTTAGAGGGGCAGAGAACGAGAGCGAGCGTGGAGTGTGCAGAGGACACCGGGTGGGTGTGAGAGTCTTGGGGCTGACCGTCAGGGACCAGCAGCGGAGAAGCCCGACAGACCCCCGCTGACCTGCTGATCCCCAAAACATCTCGGTAAATCAACTAATCCACGCCTGACTGTAGCCACAAGACACACTATAAACACGCCATTCACTCGAGATCCGCGCAAGCACGGTTTCAAGACAAAACGTTTCCGGTATGACATTTCAGATTAAAAGCTTCATGAAAAATATGTGCACAAGAGATCCTAAAAACTGTATATACTGTGTTTACAGCACCTCGGTAATAGCTCTTTCAACACTAAACTCTTATTCATTTACCTTTCTGTGCAATATGTTTATGTTATAAGCAGAAACACTTGTCCTGAGGTTTGCAGTGAGAAAGTGCTTCGTTATGGGTTCAGAAAAAATATTTTTATTTCAGGAAGACAGTTTTCTGGGCACATTCGCAAATCCGGTCCGCATTAAATCCTGACTCTGGCATCTGCCAGTCATTTATTGTATGCATTAATTAATCACAAAGATGTCGTCACAGGATTGAACTAATTTTCTCGAGGTGGGCGGCTTGATCTAAATAGCAGTATTATCGATACCAATGTTGGTATCATATCATTGTAGCACTGTAGGATCGATACATTGTTTCTATCATCTAAGTTCACTGAACAGTGTGAAATTAATGATTTATTTGTTTTAATGAAAAATATACCTCAAACATCCACTATGAAAAGCATCTGAACCTTTTTTGTGTTTACTGTCATGTCTATTTTAGTTATAGTCTATAGCACATAATTAGCACGTTTTGTTAACTAATTATTAATCACAGGGATTTGATGGTCATTAAAATTTTGGATCATACCAAAATCTACTAGTAATTTCTCAGGTGCTGACACAAAGTCAGCGTAACAGGACCTATTGCCAGGAATCGGCTGACAAACTTTATTGAATATTTCTAAACAATCTTTCAAAAGAAACATCATATTTGCTTTGCACTAAGCTCAAGCTTTCCAAAACCTCTGCTACTCTCTATGCTCTGTGGACTGTCCAATATTAAAAATCATACTTTTCCACGTCACCTTACTTTTTATTTAAGTTTATGATTTTGGGTTGAAGGGAAAGTAATTGACTTCTGGTGTTGCTCCGTGTCACTCTCATACGCTTAACAAACCGGATGTAGAGTCTTGCGTAAACGGCGCAAACTTAGAACCTCCCCTCTACCGGTCCTGTCCAATCAGTAGGATTACGCTATCAGGTCGGAAGTGACGTTAGGTTCGTCGCAAAGGGAGTAGGAAAAAAATGAGTTTGGACCCCTGTTACCGAAGCCTAATATGGTGGAGGTGGAGCAGCCCGTCATGAGTCGGAAGACCCTGGTGTTGCACTTCTAGTTATTTTTAATTTAGCTATATTTGTTATTGGATTTTGGCTAATCTGTGCTGCTGATTATTACAGAGGAAAACGAACTGAATGCAAATGCTTCTGTAAACTCATTTTATTCATTTTAACAAAACAAAAGCATTCAACACACCACAGACAGCTTCAATCTATGAACTGCCCTTCCAGTACATGTAATAAAAGTCTCTTATGCTACATACCCGTCACGGTGACCAGATCCCAACATACTACATGTGGGGCAAACCATTTGTTTTGTTACTGACGAAATAAATACAAATAATTACACAAAACTATGCTGGTGTCAGGGTTGGCATCGGTGTGATAGGAATGACGATTTATTTGAAACCGATGCGTATGTAACGAGCTTTCTAGTCTTTGTGCACTCCTATATTTCCTTATTCTACAGTCCTAATACTCCTACTTGTCATTTCTGTTTGATAAGGACGCATCCACGGATCGCCACATGTTTCTTAAAATGCGGGGCCTTGGTTGGAGTGGAGAGGGGCAAAAGGATAAACATGCCGTGAAGTGGGGCACCTGGTCACCTTGGATTCATATCACTGGTAGAAAAATAACTCTTCACATGAAGATTTCCTTCATTTTCAAATTCCCCTCTCGACAAAAGCAATGTTATCACTTTATTATGGAAAGGTTATAAAAGAAACTAGGCAACCCTGCTTTTGTCACTAGTATATACATCCTGTTATTGTAAACAACACATTATAGAAAACACCACAGGGCGGCAGTGTTGCCTTACTGGTTAAATAGTGTGGAGCGTACACTAGATTTCATTAAACTTTTATGGAGTATCCTGCGGGCTTATCGTTGACGATGGTATTTAAACCCTTGTTTTCTTTCCCCAGCACATCTTATGGCACAAAGTCTTTAGGTCTGATCATCATCCTCACTCTCTTAAAAGACTGTCTCTCATTGGTGGGGTAGTACTCTGATAATATGTTGTGCCATGTCCCCCAGAAAATCCCATTCCGCACACCTTTGTACCTCCCGTCGTAATATCTCCCGTTAAGGTTTGCGCTCATGCAGGCGTCAAACCACCAGCCGGAGCTGTAGTAGGCCCCGCAGTTCCCGGAGGGGTAGCGGTCGTGGTCCCTGTCCGGCGTGGTGAACGCCCTGTTGCTGTGATCGTACTTTTTGCTGAAGCGGAGAGCATTACCTGCGGTGCCCGAGTAACTGCCTACTGTCAGTCTATAGCGCAGGCGTTCACTGGCCACCTTGAACTGCTCGTACTGCGCATACCCCGTCAACCCGTCAAAATCCTCCAGCTCCACCCGCAGCACCATCTCCCTATCGCGGGTCAGCAGGTGGATGATGTTGTTGCCCAGCCAAAACTCCCCTCTGTCAAGCTCCCCGAAGCCGGATTGGTATTCTGCCCAGGTGCGGTTGAAGTTCACGCTGCCGTCCTGGCGGCGCTGCAGGACTGTCCACCCTCCACCCTCCTGCTCCATCTCGCAGTACACCGAGAAGCTACTAGTGCGGAGGTCAGGGGTCACCAGGTAAAGCCCGCTTTTTGTTTTTCCCCTGAGCAGGTGATCTGAGCAGTCTCTCGGTAGCATGGTAACTGTAACACAATGGAAGAAATGACACATTTCTTAAAAAGCCAGTAAGCCCTGATTTATTTAAGCCCTGTTTTCTCTCATCTTCTCTCTCTCATATTCCAGGTGATATTATCATCTCGCAGCTGGGATTTATTCGTGAAATGAGCTGGCTGAGGTCACGAGTGCATCAGGTCAGTGGCTTTTCCACCATAAAAAGAGTTACTGTGTGTGAGGGCCTTCAAAGTGGACCTCCACGGTAGATGAAAAGATATCGTTTAAAACAGAAATGGTGTTGGAGGCATACACGTGAAGGAAGTTTAATAATTTCACCTTTAAAATAATTGATTGTCTAGTCCAACTTTCCTATATTTTCCTCCTGACTTTTAAAAAGAAGGTGAAATGAGGCAATAACAGGCAGTTAGAGAAAGAAAAGCGTGCATTTAAAATCCTATTAACCTTCTGCTTTTACTCTATGATGTCATGGATGCTGGTAAATGTTATTTTAATTAATTGCTGGGGGAAAAATAGCCACTTGTTGAGTTCACTCTCTGTAAACAGCTCTCCACAAAAGGATGGTTTAAAGCTGTTGGTCTTTGCATAGTTGTGGTTTTATCTTTAGTCATGACATTCATTAGGAGCGACACATTTCACACACATGCAGATTCCTCCTTTGACAAATAATAGCCAGTGATGTATGATACAAATCTGCCCACATAATTATATTATGAGGATCATTAGAGTTTACTATGAGATTGTATTGCTTAATTCCTTTCAGCTTAAGTCATTATTAGTGGTCTTATTTATGTCTTTTTGAGTAGTAATAAAGCAATAACCATTCAGATACTAATGTGGCACAATTCATTGCACATTTCTCGGCCTTGGGACCTTGAATGTATGCGTGCTTCGCATTTCAAGCCCAGTATAATCTGCATTGATCACTAACATGTCTTGCAGCTGACTGGCAGAAACAGTTTACATTTCACAAGCACACAGAGACAAAACAGGATCAGTGTGATAGAATAAAACAGAATCTCTTGCCTTTAGGTGGTTTGTCTGTTGGCAGTTTGCCGTCCGTGTTGTCAGGCCTGATGCCTCCCTGGTTCTCTTCTGAGTGGTCTTTGTGGTGTATGTTTGGTGGTCTGCCATTAGGACTCAGGCTGTTATTGAAGAAAGCAGCCACCTGGTTGATTTTCACTCGTAACTCACGTGCACTGGGAGTGGAAGCCTCGGCAGCGAGCTCGGGGTGCTTGGGGCCAGGGGTGGTCGCAGTTGTTGACCTGAAGTCAGGGCTGGGTGGAGAGATGGTGTGAGATATGGGAGAAGGAGATGTAGAGAATGCAGGAGCTATTTCTTCCATCTTGTGATGTTTCTCAGTTTGTGTGTCTGAGCCAGAATTTGTCTTTGACTTTGAGGATCCTGGAGTGGTGCTAGGGATAACACTTGTGAGGATCCCACTGATGATTTTGTTTGGTTTTGTTGTCATTGGGATTGATGCTGGTTGACTGGCTGTTTGTGGCCTCAGATCAGACACAATCCTGTTGTTTGGGCTCATAGTGGAATCTTTAGGCTGACTTTGAAGGTGAGGGAAGGCTCCATTTTCCAGACTGTTGGAGGTCTTTGGACCTGGAGTGACAGTTTTACTTAGACTGGGATTGAACTCTCTGTCCCCTGGGGAATGAGTCACTTCAGCAGTATGCTTTATGGGGCCAGATGTAGAAGGCGTGTTGATTTGAGAGGTTTGGGTGTGATCTGAAGTAGTCCAGCTGATGTTAGGTGGATCTGTTTTGGTCTTTGGACTTAGCTTTGGTTGCACTGCTGGTTTTGGCCTTTGAACTGGTGGTGCTCCTGGCCTAACTGTAGGCATGCTTCGTGGTCGGTAAATGAAGGGAAGCCTTGGTTTTGACGTTCTATTGGACTCTGCCCGAGGTGCAGGCTTGGCATTCAGATTAGGCGTTTCTCCAAGCTTAGGTGTTTTAAAGTTGTGACTGGTTTCTGGTGGTTTGGGGCCAGTTTTGGGCCTTACATTCGGTTTTGGCTTGAAGCTTGTCCCAGGTTTTGTATGGCTTGGTTGGTTGGGCACTTGATCAGGTTTGGGTTTTGTAGGGATGTTCTGTCTGGCTTTAGGCTTTTGGTTGGGGGGTGTTTTCATGATCTCAGGCATGGTTTTCTTTCCTGGTGTTGGATCTTGATTAGAATTAGACATGTGTGATGGATTTTCATCAGATGTCTGCTTTTGTTTAGGTTTTTCTGTGTAGCTAGCTGTTGGACTTTCTTTTGATTCAGGCTCTTGGACAGGTTTGGGTTTTGTGGAGATCTTCTGTCTGGCTTTAGGCTTTTGGTTGGGGGGTGTTTTCATTAGATCCGATATGGTCTTCTTTCCAAATGTTGGATCTTGATTAGAATTAGAGACGTGTGAGGGATATTCATCAGATGTCTCATTTTGTTTAGCTTTTTCTGCATAACTAGCTGTCGGACTTTCTTTTGATTTAGGCTCTTGGACAGGTTTGGGTTTTGTAGGGATGATCTGGGTGATTTTAGGCTTTTGGTTGCCAGGTGTTTTTGGTAGATCAGGCATGGTCTTTTTTCCAGATGTTGAATCTTGAGTAGAATTGGAGATGTATGAGAGATTTTCATCAAATGTCTCCCTTTGGTTAGGTATTTCTGTGTAGCTAGCTGTTGGACTGTCTTTTGATTCAGACGTTTGGGTGGGTTTAGGTTTCACGGGAATGTTCTGGCTGGTTTTAGGCTTTTGGTTGGGGGGTGTTTTCAGTAAATCAGGCATGGTCTTCTTTCCAGTTATTAAATCTTGATTAGAATTAGACACATGTGAGGGATTTTCATCAGATGTCTCATTTTGTTTAGGTTTTTCTGTGTATCTTGCTGTTGGACTTTCTTTTGATTCAGGCTCTTGGACAAGTTTGGGTTTTGTAGGGACATTCTGTCTGGTTTTAGGCTTTTCCTCAGGGGGTGTTTTCAGTAGATCAGGTGTGGTCTTCTTTCCAGATGTTGGATCTTGATTAGAATAGGACACTTGCGATGGATTTTCATCAGATGTCTCATTTTGTTTAGCTTTTTCTGCATAGCTAGCTGTTGGACTTACTTTTGATTCAGGTTCTTGGACAGGTTTGGGTTTTGTAGGGATGTTCTGTCTGGTTTTAGGCTTTTCCTTAGGGGGTGTTTTCAGTAGATCAGGTGTGGTCTTCTTTCGCGGTGTTGAATCTTGATTAGAATTAGACACTTGTGAGGGATTTTCATCAGATGTCTGCTTTTGTTTAGGTTTTTCTGTGTAGCTAGCTGTTGGACTTTCTTTTGATTCAGGCTCTTGGACATGTTTGGGTTTTGTAGGGATGATCTGGGTGATTTTAGGCTTTTGGTTGGGGGGTGTTTTTGGTAGATCTGGTGTAGTCTTCTTTCCAGATATGGGATCTTGATTAGAATAAGGCACTTGCGATGGATTTTCATCAGATGTCTCATTTTGTTTAGCTTTTTCTGCATAGCTAGCTGTTAGACTTTCTTTTGATTTAGGCTCTTGGACAGGTTTTGGTTTTGTAGGGATGTTCTGTCTGGTTTTAGGCTTTTGGTTGGGGGGTGTTTTTGGTAGATCTGGTATAGTCTTCCTTCCAGATATGGGATCTTGATTAGAATAGGACACTTGCATTGGATTTTCATCAGATGTCTCATTTTGTTTAGCTTTTTCTGCATAGCTAGCTGTTGGACTTACTTTTGATTTAGGCTCTTGGACAGGTTTTGGTTTTGTAGGGATGTTCTGTCTGGTTTTAGGCTTTTCCTTAGGGGGTGTTTTCAGTAGATCAGTTGTGGTCTTCTTTCGCGGTGTTGAATCCTGATTAGAATTAGACACTTGTGAGGGATTTTCATCAGATGTCTGCTTTTGTTTAGGTTTTTCTGTGTAGCTAGCTGTTGGACTTTCTTTTGATTCAGGCTCTTGGACATGTTTGGGTTTTGTAGGGATGATCTGGGTGATTTTAGGCTTTTGGTTGGGGGGTGTTTTTGGTAGATCTGGTGTAGTCTTCTTTCCAGATATGGGATCTTGATTAGAATAAGGCACTTGCGATGGATTTTCATCAGATGTCTCATTTTGTTTAGCTTTTTCTGCATAGCTAGCTGTTGGACTTTCTTTTGATTTAGGCTCTTGGACAGGTTTTGGTTTTGTAGGGATGTTCTGTCTGGTTTTAGGCTTTTGGTTGGGGGGTGTTTTTGGTAGATCTGGTATAGTCTTCTTTCCAGATATGGGATCTTGATTAGAATAGGACACTTGCATTGGATTTTCATCAGATGTCTCATTTTGTTTAGCTTTTTCTGCATAGCTAGCTGTTGGACTTACTTTTGATTCAGGTTCTTGGACAGGTTTGGGTTTTGTAGGGATGTTCTGTCTGGTTTTAGGCTTTTCGTTAGGGAGTGTTTTCATTAGATCAGGCATGGTCTTCTTTCGCGGTGTTGAATCTTGATTAGAATTAGACACTTGTGAGGGATTTTCATCAGATGTCTGCTTTTGTTCAGGTTTTTCTGTGTAGCTAGCTGTTGGACTTTCTTTTGATTCAGGCTCTTGGACATGTTTGGGTTTTGTAGGGATGATCTGGGTGATTTTAGGCTTTTGGTTGGGGGGTGTTTTTGGTAGATCTGGTGTAGTCTTCTTTCCAGATATGGGATCTTGATTAGAATAAGGCACTTGTGATGGATTTTCATCAGATGTCTCATTTTGTTTAGCTTTTTCTGCATAGCTAGCTGTTGGACTTTCTTTTGATTCAGGCTCTTGGACAGGTTTTGGTTTTGTAGGGATGTTCTGTCTGGTTTTAGGCTTTTCCTTAGGGGGTGTTTTTGGTAGATCAGGTGTGGTCTTCTTTCGCGGTGTTGAATCCTGATTAGAATTAGACACATGCAAGGGATTTTCATCAGATGTCTCATTTTGTTTAGCTTTTTCTGTGTAGCTAGCTGTTGGACTTTCTTTTGATTCAGGCTCTTGGACAGGTTTTTGTTTTGTAGGGATGATCTGCGTGATTTTAGACTTTTGGTTGGGGGGTGTTTTCGTTAGATCAGGTGTGGTCTTCTTTCCAGATATGGGATCTTGATTAGAATAAGGCACTTGCGATGGATTTTCATCAGATGTCTCATTTTGTTTAGCTTTTTCTGCATAGCTAGCTGTTAGACTTTCTTTTGATTTAGGCTCTTGGACAGGTTTTGGTTTTGTAGGGATGTTCTGTCTGGTTTTAGGCTTTTGGTTGGGGGGTGTTTTTGGTAGATCAGGTGTGGTCTTCTTTCGCGGTGTTGAATCCTGATTAGAATTAGACACATGCAAGGGATTTTCATCAGAAGTCTCATTTTGTTTAGCTTTTTCTGTGTAGCTAGCTGTTGGACTTTCTTTTGATTCAGGCTCTTGGACAGGTTTTTGTTTTGTAGGGATGATCTGCGTGATTTTAGACTTTTGGTTGGGGGGTGTTTTCGTTAGATCAGGTGTGGTCTTCTTTCGCGGTGTTGAATCTTGATTAAAATAAGACACTTGCGTTGGATTTTCATCAGATGTCCCACTGTAGCCAGGTTTTTGGTCAGTTGTTGTTTTTTCTCCACCTTTTGACCATTTTTCTATTTTTTGATTTTGGTCCGGCTTCTCAGTTTTTGGATTATGGACTATTCCCTTCTCGGATTTCGGTTCAATCTCGGTTTGATTAGTAGCAGTAACTTGATCAGGATATTCATCAGATCCGGCCGTGTTTGCATTCTGAGGTCTGTGATGTGGCGGAGGTGTCCAAATAGGAGTCACAGTCTTTTCATTAGGTTTTGACTTTTGAGTAGGTAACTTGTTTTGATCAGATGTATAATTTTGGCCATATTTAGGTATAGAATCGTTATTCAAATTTTGATCAGTGGGTAAAATATGAGGGGGAATTCTTTGCTTAGGTTTTGAAGTTTCGACTCCTTTTGGGTCTTTGCCAGGTTGAGGTTTAGGTCTTTGGTCGATTCTGGGTTTGTGGTGAAAAGGATGCTTCTTTTGGTTGTATTTTGGTCTTTTGCCAGGCTTTGGTCCTTGGCCTGGCAGAGGTTTTGCTCCAATCTTAGTATTTGAGCTGATGTTCTTTTTAGCTGTCCAGCGGCTGTCATCTATAGCTCCTACAGTTAAATCCTGATGATGAGCTGTGGTGACTGTAGTTGTCGTAGTTGAACTAATGTGACTGTGGAGGCCTGACCTGGATGTAGTAGTTTGATTGGTTATGTGTTGTCCACTCCCTGTGCTCATTGTAGTTTCTGTGTGAGTATTTGCATCAGCTTTTGGAGGCTTAGAAATCCCAGCTGCTACAAGGCCTGTGTTTTGGGTTGTTATCTCGTGACTGACATCTGTGATATAATGCAAGGTGGAGCTGGGCATTGGGGGAGATGGAATAGATGACGTAGCTTCATTCGAGTCCACAGAGTCTAGCCCTAGAGCTATATTAATTGTAGAGTGAGGAGTTGGGCTGATTGAAACAAAGTCTGTCCTTTTAGTTGCTTCGCTGGATGGTAATTCTCTATCGTCTCCCTCTCCACTCTCTGTCTCTTCGTCTTCTGTTTTGATCTCCTTTCCCGTCTCTCTGCCCTCGCCCCCCTCTTTTATAGTCTTTTCTTTTTCAGTGTGCCTGATTTTTTCGGTCTGTTTTCGTTCCTCATTATTTTGCTCTACTTGTACTCTCTTTTCCATTTCCTTTTTCTTCTCCTCCCTGCTCTGCTCTTGCTCCTGATTTGTATTCTCATCATGGTTCTCTGACATCTTTATCCTATCACTGGCTGCAGTTTGGGTCTCTGTTTCCTCTGTTTTATCTTGCCACACGTGATGACCACTTTCTTCAGTTTTATTTACATTAGTGAAAGTCTTTCTTTCTTTTCCATGCTCCAGATTATTCTCTTGATATCCCTTTGAATTCTCTTCTCCGGCGGTGTCTTTATTTCTGTCTCTCTCCCCCTGCCTATTGTTTTTGTCAGCAACCTTTTCTCCTACTGTTCCCTCATTTACACCACCAGTTGTTACCTTTGTTGGAACTACTTTGTCCTTTCCTTTTCCTCTGTCTGATTGAGTTGTTCCGTCAGTTTCCAGCACTTCTGTCAGAGTTTCTTTTATGAGTCCTCCATTGCTCTCTCTTTCTGTCTCCCATTTCTTTCTTTCTTTCTCTTCCAGAGTGCCTGTTTTTTCCGAGTCTCCATCTCCTTCCATAACACTGACTGTGCTGCACTCTTGTTTAAAACCATTCTCTTGAAGTCTCTCATTCACCCAGTTTCTGTCATCCTCACGTCTATCCGTCTCCTCACTCAGCGTCTCACGCTCATTCTCTCTGTGCCTTCCACACTCTCTCTCAGTTTGGCTTACTGTACAGTCTGCGCAGATCTCCCGCAGTTCATCCACACTGTCCTTCAGCTTCTGCAGGTCCTCCACGATCTTCTCCAGCTCTTTGAGCTGCTGTGGCAGGTGAATCCTCAGCGGTGGCAAAGTGAGTAAGTAAGGGCACGTGTTCTCATGCTGCACCTGTCTGCACTGCCCCCCAGGCGTCAGTGTTACAGTGCAGGGACCAAATCCTTTATCCACAAGGAGTATTCCTTCATCAGAGTCTGCTGTGATCCAAGAAAGACTTGAGAAGGCCAGCAGGGTCCCACATACGCACAGGGCTGTTAACCTCATTGCAGCCTGAGAGCAAAGAGTGAAGGGAGAGGAGGGAGAGAGTGTAAAAACACCCACCTCAGTTTGTGAGAAGCGCAGCGAAGGAGGAAAGGTGGGAGGGAGAAGAGGAGGGAGTGGGAAATGATGGAGCTGTGCAGTGAAAAGTGAATCTGTGAGATATCTGAGAAAACTGAAGGAAGGAAGAAAGAAAGAGGGGAAAATAAAACAGAAAAGTGAGAGTAGGTACGTTTTTAAGATAGTGAATGATATGGATGAAGCGTGAGGAAAGCCGAAGATATTTCTGCCTCATAATATAAGCAGAATTAACTGCAGCAGTTAGTAACCACTTGGGAAACATTATAAAACATGGAAACTTTAGAAAGCACATGTCTTAACAATTTATTGGATTACAATTGATTCTAATTCCACTCACATCAGTTAATGAAGAACATTTGCAACACATTCTCCCTCTATGCTGTAATGATAAATGTATCACGGACTTGAATATGCATGTGTGTCGCAGTTGCTTTGGCAAGAGCGTCCCGAGCTTCCTGACAATGCGTACACAAACATGTGAATGGCACATGTAACATTTGAAGCAAAAAAGCTGCTGCTGGACTGAAGCCAAGAGGCTGTTATTCAGATTTGAATGGGCATGCTTCATTTTACTGTAAACTGTGAGGCTTAGTTCAGCTCATGATTAATGGTGGGCAGGAATGTCTGATTTATCTAAGAAGACCATTTGATTAAAACACAGTTCCAGAAGAGATAAATATCTCGTGTACTATTGACTTTATTCGGACAGTTCTAATCCCCAACAAGTGTCAGGGATCGGTGAGGCAATCTCTGGGTGGAGAGGTTGATCTGACTATGTACAGACTGTTCATCTGTATTTGGGGTCTTGGCTAATTCGTTTTGTCTACATATAGTCAGAAAACAGGAAAGAGAGAAAACCGAGTCACATGAACTAAATGAGGCATCTGCTTCACAGGGAGTTTGGATAATGAGGCTTTACTTTCTCGGACCACGGGTGTAAATGTCAGTCCCACAACAGGATATGAGATATGAGTGATAGCATGCAATGCCAGTGTTTGATGTTTCAGAAATGTGTCTGTTTTTAATGTTTGTTAGACCACTAAAATGATCTTACTTATCGACCGAGACACGATCTCTGCGCACTTTTTTGTCTGTGTCTATTTGACCAGCTGAGAGATTTCTCAGCTGTCCTTTAATAATGACAAAGGAAACCATTTGTTTAGTGAGAGCACCGTGGGAAGCCTCAGGTTAGAAATGAAAAACGATTGAAGTAGAAGGCTGGATGCGGCACATCGCCGGTCTGCGAGGTCACGAACGCATCTGGAGAAACTGCATCGTCTAAGAGCGTAACAGCTTTAAATCCTGCGGTTGGTCTCAGAGAGGAGTATTTTAAAATGTTTTGGCTATTGTAATCTGTGTAACCCTTCTCTGTCTAACTTTAAAT